GTGGGATAAATACTACACACTTTCTAGCAAGCATATAACTTGGTTAAACCTCAAAACATGGTTTTCTGTGTTAAACTTGTGTTTAATAGAATTTGTTTTTGTGGGGAGTGTTTTGTTTTGTTCTTTTTCATTATAGTTAACGATCTCACCTGAAGTGCTGCCCGAGGAGTCCAAAGAACTGAAAAATACATCTCATGACTTTGATGGTGATTCAAAAAAACAAAAAAGGAGGAAAGTGGATACATTTTACAGCTAGTTGTGCTGGCAGCACTGCATTGCAGAATTGACTTCCGTCCTTGAGCTCTTTTCTAAACAAGTACATAACTCTTGCTTGCTAATTATGAAACGAGACCCTGACCAGCTGAGTACAGCTCACATTGGGAGTTTATCTGTGAGAATGGACAGATAAGATGCTTCTTGTACACAAGATGTGCATGGGAGTGAATGGGAGAGCGTGATCAAAACAGACCTGGGAAAGTCTGTTCTCCCTGTGTGATAAGAGAGTGACTGATGGAGTACATGAGCTAATAACAACCCTGGCTGCATAGTCTGGTCTCCTGTTTGTAATCCACAAATAGTGCTTCTTGCTAAGAAGTATAAATATGCGTGTTTGCCTGCAATAAAGCTAATTCCGTTTTCCACCATCTCAGAGTTCATGCATGCTTCTCCACACTTCTGTGGCAAAATCTATTAATATTAAAGTACATCTTTGTATATAAAATGGGAATATGTCCTGAAAAATAAGCTGACACAATATTCTCACTGTTACATATATGCATGAATTGAACATTTAAATTGTGAGAATTAGAAAAGCCTTTTTCCAGTATGAAAATCTATGTATCTATTAACAAATAGCAAAACATAAACATTGAAAATCATGCTTTACACTCTTGTACAAAACACCATTGTAACTACCATAAATACCTGTTGTAATGCTACATGGAAAATTGCACTATCATTCTGATAGGTAATTTTTTGATTTCAACAATTAAAATCTAAAATGGCTATCTGAAATGAAAAAAAAATTACACTACTAAAATGTATCCTGGTTCCTTTTCTGAACTTTGAAGCCTCTATCCATTCTCTAATTTGTCATTAAATATAGTTTGGTCAATAAATTACACACAGAAATATACTAACTTTATCGCAGGTTGTTAAGTAAACTCTTCAGCCATTCTGGTAAAGAAAGTTCTGAAAAATTTAATTAGTTGCTTGTCTTCAGGTGAAGCTTTCAAATATCAAGAAATAATTAAGGTTCAAACTCCCATTCCCCAGAGCTGGCATCATGGCAACATTGGGAGATCATCCAAAGATCATTACATGTAAGTTCTGAATTCTTCTCACTCCAAGAACCCTTTCAAACTTATTAAGTAAGGAGCATTTTAGGGGGAACAGAAAATCACAATGACTTGTGTCTTAAACTGTGATTAATTGATTAAATATTCCCTTCGGCAACAGTACTTACTTTAGTAGCCTGTGACCACCCTGTTGCTCCCCAGAGAATAACTGGCTTAGAGAACAGGTTGGAACAATCTCTTAAACTAGTTCTAACGAAAGAAACATTCCTTGCACTATGCAGAGGTACTAATTAAGGAGTCTAGCCTCTCTTATATTACCCAAGCCTGTCCCAGAAACTGTGATACATGACATGAAAAATGAGACCTGACCAAAATCTGTAAGAAGAGTTGACGTCTACTGAAAGATGTACATAGAAGGTTATAGGTTATTTCTCCTTGTTCTGTAGCTGCTGTATTTTGCTAGCGTTCCCTAGCACTGCACCTACACATGGGTTGTCCAATGGTTATGATACTGGTCTGAGACACAGAAGTTTGAAAGACATGAGTTAGATCTAAGTATCTCACTTTCAGGCCAAATGTAGTAACCTTTAAAATACCAGAAAACATTCTGTGCTGAATGCCCTAACCCACTGTAGAAAATACAGACAATGGATATAATTTTTAAGAAAGCTTAGGTGTTGATTTTCCTTGTATTTTGACACTCACGAGACTTAGACTGCAGCTGTATGCCAACCTGCTCAGGTAGAAGTGGTTCTGTCTAAGCGCAAAACCCCAAAACCATAGGTATGAAGAAGAGCATTTTCAAGAAGCTGTAAACGTAGGCACTTTGAGATTTAGGCATTTCAGGAGTAGGATTATACACCTAAAATCTGCTCAACTCATAACTATCAGTCTGTCTTGAACCTATACCCTACCAGAATACAAGACACAAATTTAATGCCACAGAATCCAGTTACAAAATGTTGACATGCCTAACACTGCTCCCAAGAGCAAATGGTAAATCTTGTAACTGACTTCAATATGACAGACTGCTTACATTCCACAAGAAAATTAACTTTTCAATGGCAGTTTTATTAGAACAAATGGAGGCTTCACGATCCTTGTCAACTCTCAGTCTTTGAATTTCCTGTTTCAGTTCATGTTGGCACTAATCACCAGACTCTGTGTTAATGGTTCTTAGAACTTTGTAAACAATCTTGCTGGACAGTCATCTAGTGTTAGACAAAAACATTTTAACTCTAGGTCAAAGATGAAACGGCCATAATCTTAAAAGAATAAAGCATAGGCAGAAATTTTGTTTGCTTCTTGTGTGTTTTCAGTTTGATCACAAAAGAATATGTAATTGTGTTTCGCAGTCTATGACTAGGTGAAACCTTAGAATATAATTCTGAATGAGCAATCTCTGTTAGCTTCTCATTGCTCATTCTTTCCCTTTTCTGGACTCAAATACTATTTCATATTTGCACTTACTGATTGATGTATGTACGTAGAAAAACATATGCAAAGCATACATTTATTTAAAGGGTAAAACCAGAGAATCTCACTTGAATTTCCCAATTTCATTTAACCTTCTAACATTAAGCATATTTAAGTTCAAATCTTTCTACACAAAGACTTGCCAACTGAAGTTTACAATATCCTAGTGTAAAAGATTCCAAACACAATTAATCACAACTGACCTAAGAATAAAGTGAAGAACTAGTCAAACTTGCATGTTTTAGTACTAATAGGCTTGAAATACAAGAGCACATTTTTTCCCAAAACATCCATTTAATAACTTGAAGCACTGATATTTGCAAATAGATTTCTTAAAAATATATATCTCATTTCAAAACAACAGCATTGCAAAACATAAATATATTTGATTTGAAAGGAAAATTGTGTTCTCTGCAGAAGTGAACACAAAAACAGGCCAGCATCTCAGTCACTAGAACTGTCTGAACTATCAGAAGATGAACTTTTTTCCTTTTGTCTCTTCTTTTTCTCTTTTTTATGATGTTTTCCTTTCTTAGATTTATTTTTTTTTTCCTTTTCTCTTTCTTTTTTGTGTGATTTTTGTTTTTTTGACTTTGGCCCATCCTCTTCAGCTGCACTTGATGAGGAAGATCTAGAGAAAAAATACATACACAGATTGACGTGTAATTAAAGAAGGAAAATACCACAAAAATAATGTTGGTTTTTTAAATTTCATTATTTATATAATGTCACAAATGGAATTCGGCGTAGAATTCATACAGTAGCATCCACTAGAAGGCTTATGATATTTTAGTCTGTATGTTCAACAGAACTACTTTTCAAATTAGCCTGTTGTACCAGAAAAGCAGGATATCTATAATTCAGATTAATCAACAAAGGAATAGGCAAGTTGTATGTTTTTCAAACTTTGATAATAAAAGGACTAAGAGTACAGAAAGTCAGAAAGTTGAAAGTATCACAGTAAGACAGAGGTTCCAGCTTTTAAAATACCACGTTCAATAATAATGCTACAGTAATGCCTTCAGACAAATCTTAATGCACTTCTCTCATGCAAAAAACTAAGAGAAACAGGTATGACAAAAAAATTGCATGCTCCTGCAGCTGGTAACATTGGTCTCTAACCAGCAGTGATAAGTGATTACATGCATACAAGTAAGATGACAATAAAAGTCATGCTTATTACACTCAAAATGGCAGTTTTGTGCTAATGCTTACATGATTAACTATCAATTACTTGCATGCAAAGACTAGAATGAGCAGACTGATTCTTTTCTACTGTCTTCATAAGTGTTAGAGCTACATTATGTAGCTAAGAAGAAAAATGCCAGTGTTAAATCTTGTTTATTTCTGAAAAACATCCTACTGCAGCCTTCAGACATGCTACCTACTTTCTAGCTCTCAGTGCAATTTTTCTGATATTGTTCCATCAACACTTTTAATGACTAACCAGTCTGTAGTCTTTTCTAAAAAAAAATCATTCACCAGGTCAAAACTCAGATTCTTGATGAATTTTGGTATCATGACATTTTCCTTTGAAATTGGAGTACCACTTTTTTAGGCTTCTACAATAACAGAAATATTAAAACTCAACCTGTAGTAAGTCAAACAACAGAAGTTTTCCTTTTGATAGTTACATGTTACTCAGAGGATTGTGTGTGTGCACTCAGAGAATCTTAGCATCTGTGTTGCAGTTGCAGTGAGGCTTCTCCACATAAGATAAGCTGGGGACCAACCTCATAATCCTCCTGACGCCTTCTTTTCCTGACACATCTTGCTGGGCGTTGCATAGTCAGAAGGAGCACTGCTCTCACACTTGCAGACTTCCAGCCTGCTAGAGCTTTTTACACTTCCATAGTCCTAACTCCACAGCAGCAAGCCTGTGGCTTATCATTACTCAAAGAAGTAAACAAAGAAGTTTTGACTAGAAAACAGGAAGCTTTTCAAACTAAATAGGCACTTGCAAATACAGCTGTATCAAAAGAAGCAACGTGTTCTGAGAAATAACCCAAACATCAGATATGTTACTGAAGTTCTGTTCTGAAATTAAAATAAGTGTGTGATAAGGTTACCTTTTCCTTGGCCTCTTTAATTTCATTTTTTCTTTGCTTTTTCTTTTTTGTTTCTTTTTCTCTTCCTCCTCGTTTAAATCTATAGATAAAAAGTTACAGTTTACAAAACACTCGTCTGAATTAGGATTAACACTAAGAGTGCCTTCATGAGCAATTTAAAGTTACCACAAAGTTCCAGTTAAAAGTTTTTCTTCTCTTTCCTCCAAATTCTGTTCTAGAACAGTAATTTCACAAATATTTTGCAGAGTAGTAGAGCTTTTTATATATTCTAATGACTTTGATCTAAGCACTAATAATGAAGAAAGATCTGTAAAATGTAGTAAAAAGTTGTGACTTTCCCTGTATGTTTACATCAGGTTTAGGTTTTCATATCCAGTCTTCAGCTTTTTAAGACTTGCCCAAGGCTGAAAACAGGTCACTTAACTAGAATATACAAAACCAAAATCCCTTAGGCTTACCTGAGTTACTTTCACACATAACTATGTTGTAACTAAGACAAATCTGAATTAACTGTCAATATACTGTCTACAAAAATTGGCAGAAGTGTCACCCCTCATCTAGTCGTGTTTGTTTCCTGCCCTAACACTGCCTACTGTTGTACAGTATCTTCATATTTCACTTACAAACAATATTTTTATCACATTGCATGAAATTTCTGACCTTAGACTTTTTTATACTAGGTCAAAAACTATTTTTAAATTCTCCAAAATGCAAATGCACTACATAAATACACATTATAATGCCAGCTAACAGGAAAATATTGGCTTTACAGTTTACGCTTGAAACTGATAGCTACTTTTGAGTATTAAATTTTATTTCTATCATAAAAATAACTTTCCATAGAGTCTGCATGCTAACGCAGTTATTAATTTGCTACCACAAAGAGAAATTACTGCTGTGTATGTTCTGGAGCGATATCTGAAAGAATTCCATATGAGTTACAAAAAGTAAACTATCTTGGGAGCAAGTGAAAACCATGAATAAGAGTGCGTGAACAAGCACTCACTATTTTTTTAAACAATAAAAGTGCAAAAATCTAAGCGCAAACAATACAAAAACCCTGAGATGAGGACACTTCAAAATGGCAAAAATCTGCCTAATTTACTGACAGATATCTCCTTACAGTACATACAGCAGCCATAGTTTGAGAAAGAACATATAATAAACAGGGATATTACAAGATGAAGTAAAGAGCTGCTTTTCC